AGAGAGAGAGAGAGAGAGAGAGAGAGAGAGAGAGAGAGAGAGAGAGAGAGAGAGAGAGAGAGAGAGAGAGAGAGATGCGTGGATTGCTTGAATGAGCTCATTTTGGGTAAGGGCATATGGGAAACTTTACTGCTGTTTCTCAACGGGCAGCGGGTAGGGGCATACTGAAAATTTGGTACCGGTACCGGTAGGGGCATATGAAACATTTTTGAGGCCCAAACGATGCCAGGGGTATTCTGGAAACATCATTCGTCGTCAGAGGGGCAAGACAAGGTAAGTCGGCCGCCAGAGGGGCACGCCGCAAATAAATGCAAACTTCAGGGGCATTTCGAAAATTTTCCCTTTTTTTTAACATACATGACTTTAAAAATGAAAATAAAAAATGGGGGGTTTGATCTCCAAAAGATCTGCAACCTTATATTTTTTTTAATTCTTTTTGTTTATTGGTTGCCTACCAAACAATCTCCGTGAAAAAAAAGAAAAACCCAGTCATTTCATCTGTTTTTTTTTTGTGTTTGCTTTCTTTTTACGTTTTTGATTTTTTAAAAATCTAGCAAAACTTCAAAAAATAAAATAAAAAACGTAGGCCCTGTATTTTTTGTTTTTTTTTTTGAGCATTTTTTACCCCCCAAAAAAATATCCCCGCGCCCGCTCAAAGCCCGCTCAAGGCGCTTTGAGCGCGGGATTGAGCGGTGCTCAAAATCTTTAGCGCCGACCGCGCGCTCAATCAGCGCTCGGTTTCACAGCCGTGAGCGGCTGCGGTGAACGGCTGTTCACGGATTTCGGCCCCAGTGACCCGGTCACGTTCACCGCAGGGGTGTACCAACTGAGCTAGGTCAGCTAGTGAGCTGGGGACTTTAGCCATCCATCTATACCAGACTATACGTAATGCAGGGAAATCCTTTGTGAACTTCTATGAAGATCTACCAAATTGGCGCAAAGGAGAAAAACATTCGCGCATCAACGAGGCAAATAAAAAATCCGTGTAATTCATGGTGTATGTAAGATGTAAGGGAGAGCGATCGGCATAATTGGCCGACAGCATTCCATTTGAGGACAGATGGGAGAGAGAGACTTATTAGAAGAGTCGGGAGCAGATGCATATACAAAGGGCAGATAAGGAGAGTGAAGAAGGGGATAGAGAGAAAGAGAGAGAGATGGTTAGGATGAAAAAAGCCATGGAGACAAAGATACGCGCGAAAAAATTGATGGCACTCCAATAAAATATCTCAAGTAGCACCGAGAGCCATCCTGGCGAGGTCCCTACGCGTTTCATTCGCCCGCCAGCGGCGAAATCATCAGGGGACAGATTGAGCGCGTATCCTACTAGTCACCTCTAGTCCTTATATACAAGTATCACACAGCGTACACGAAGATCGTACTCCTCCTATTCTCACGAAGCCAATGCGAGCCGGTCTACCAGGAGGGAGGGATAAACCAGGAGAGAGAGAGAGAGAGAGAGAGAGAGAGAGAGAGAGAGAGAGAGAGAGAGAGAGAGAGAGAGAGAGAGAGAGAGAGAGNGAGAGAGAGAGAGAGAGAGAGAGAGAGAGAGAGAGAGAGAGAGAGAGAGAGAGAGAGAGAGAGAGAGAGAGAGAGAGAGAGAGAGAGAACAGAAAAAGAAGAAAAGAAAAGAACCAGAGGACCTATGTAACATATTTCTGAAAGCAGGTCTTGCAACTGTTAGCAACATACCGGGCCTACTGCTTGATTTAAAACCAGAGGACCTATGTAACATATTTCTAAAAGCAGGTCTTGTCGGGGCCATATGCCTGTGACAATCGTTCTCAGGGTTTGGGTTTGGATCCACTTCCCTTTGAATCTTCCTGTGGTCTTCATCAGGCGGACAAATGCATCTACTTCTTATGCACCTTATTATTCTTCTTTTCCTTCTTCATCTCCCTCTTCTTCTTCTTCCTGCCTCTTTGCATGTATGTCTCTCTCCTTGCATTTCAATGGTGTGTGCACACTCCACATGCAGCGGCGCCAAACTGGTAATTGACGAAGGATGGCGACAGCTCAAGCCCACTGACATCTATAATAAGCACTTGCGGACCTCGTACTAAGCATGCCCAGGTACAATGGATCATTAACCTGGAAGGTTAAGGTACTACACTAATACTGTGGAGCCCTCTCCTCACTGGTCAAGGAGCTGGCCGGCCAACTGGTAGAAAGCGCCCACGCCAAGACCTTTTCGCCGTTTTCGGTTTCGAGTGCCGAAAGTGGGGCCGTTTGGTACTACCGGCCCAATGTTTCCGTGTGGAGTACCACAGGCCCCCACATGTGGGGTACTACAGTCCCATGCGTCTCTCCAAGGGCCCTGCAGGATCATGAATCTGGGTCATAGTAAACAGAGCCAGATTCATTTTGATGTAGATGAGGCCGAGGGTGGTACCATTGAAGGATAAAATGAGGCCCAGGTACTGTATTTTGTAAAAGAAGGGCCCTACAGATTCATGAATCAGGCACAAAAACAGTGTGAAATTCCTGAACCAGTAAACACTGCCCAAGGGTAGCTGTGGCCATGGCGCGAAGGGGCCTTTCACCCAGGCTGAAGACATTTGGGCCGCTAGTACTTACGGCCTAAATTTGGGCGCCCAAAATCGAAAAAGGTTTTCGTGAGGGCGCTTTCTACGAATAATCCCGTCAAAACGAGTACCGACATACAGAACGCCCTTCACGGGCCTCCTCATAGGGAATAAGAGAAAGTCCAGTCCGTCGCAACAGCGGCTGTGTGCTCTACCTGAGTCAACCAGACTCTTCTAGAGAGCCAAAATAATGTTGGTATGTTGAGATTCTGAGAACGACCCCGATGAAGTGGGAGGAGTTTGGGTCATTCACTGCACATGGATCCACTCGTCTTCAATGACTCTGTGCTGTTCGGTCTCCTTTGGTTGCCTACAACCCATTATGA